TTGTTTATTTGCTTGTTTGTTTTTTTGAGACAGAGTTTTACTCTGTCACCCAGGCCTCCCAAAGTGCTGGGACTACAGTGTGAGCCACCTCTCTAGCTGCTTTTTAAGGTTTTTTAAATTGCAAATCTATTCAGTGCCTAGGGAATGAAAGCGTCAACACATGACTAGCTGCTATTAACAGATTCTCCTCCTCTCCACCCAAGATCTCCCCAATTCATGCCTTCTGGTTAAGGTCACTGAAAAAATTTTCCCTGAAGATTGCCAGAGCTGTAGCTTTGGACTTCACAGCTGTTCTGGTTCTTCAGGGAGTTCAGAGTTAATGGGTATCTCTCTTACTATGAATTCTGCTGTCTATTCTCTGACTTCCTTTATTTACGTGCTCAGCACCTCCTCAGGGCTGGGGCTTTTAATCCTCACAACAACTGCATATCCTATTATTTATACCTTTCAGAGGTGCACTTGGACACAAAATGATGTATAGACTTTCTCCATTTCACCTAGCTAGGAAGCAGCAGCAGCAGCAGACCTGTGCTTCCTGTCTACACTGCGGCTCTCAAGCTTGCATTCTTAACCACAAAGCAAATCATTATAGAAGAGGACATTTATTCTTTTTTTTGAGATGGAGTTTTACTCTTGTTGCTCAGGCTGGAGTGCAATGGTACGATTTCAGCTCACTGCAACCTCCACCTCCCAGGTTCAGTGATTCTTTTGCCTCAGCCTCCCAAGTGGCTGGGATTACAGGCATGCACCACCACACATGGCTAATTTTTGTATTTTTAGTGGAGACAGGGTTTCACCATGTTGCCCAGGCTGACCTCAAGTGATCCGCCTGCCTTGGCCTCCCAAAGTGCTGGGATTACAGGTGTGATCCACCTTGCCTGGCCCACACCCGACTACTTTTTGTATTTTTAGTAGAGATAGGTTTTGCAATGTTGGCCAAGCTGGTCTCAAACTACTGACCTCAGGTAATATACCTGCCTCTGCCTCGCAAAATGCTGGAATTATAGGCATGAGCCATAGTGCACAGCCAGAAGAGGAAGAATTCTTTCAAATCGGTGCAGAGGGCAAACCTAAAAGAAACTGGAATTTAGGAGACTATAAGGAAGAATTTTCTAATCATTCCAGCGGTTCACAATGAAACATTTCATTAGCAGTTTGCAAGATGAGGCTTATTGCTCGCGGATCAGGAAAATAGTAGAAGGCATTCTCAAAAAAGTGGGAGCTCAGAAGTGGTAAATGAGCTCTGTGGGCCTTTCCAAATCAAATTTGTAAAATTTACTCTCTTGAGGACACTTCTTATTGTCAGTTTCTTCTCATGTGACTTATTTTCCATGCAATTCATAGAGAACATTCTTTTTCAGTGTAAAAACAGAATGCAACTTATTTATGACTGAAATTGGCATAAGCAGGGTGTCCTCAGCCTGTGAGCCTGTATAGGAATCTACATTATGTTTCACTGAGAAATAGAGTGGCCAGGATCACGGAAATTCAAAGATGGTTGCAAATAGTATTTTAAGCACTTGGAAAACTATATTTCATTTTATTAGATATTAATGATCAGTGTAAAAACACATAGAGGTAGATAAAAATGTCATTAGATTCCAAGCCCAGTGCCTTCAATAATTGAGTGTATACTATTACTATTTTAATATGACCCATAGTATTGTGATGTGCCCCTTAATTATTTCTGATATGCTTTATATGTGCCTTTATTTTCCAGGTGTTAATTAACTTTTTTTAAAGAAATGCGTTTTCTGCTTTTAGAGAGAATGTGTGGAATATACTAACATTCAAGTTTTGGTACTTGTTTGCATTTTTAGAAGTGTGTCTTGTTTCTCTACTTAAAATATAGATAGTATTATACATATCACTGAGGATGACTTTATGGAAAACTATGGGACTAGAGAGCTTTTCTTCTCTCTTATGAGCCTTCAGGATTTGCTTTGGGAAAAAAGTATATCAATGTATACTTTCATTCTGCTCATCCCACTTTCCTCCTCAACTACTCCTTATTATGCCACCTCCACCAACCCTCCCACTCGTCCCCCAAAATCACATAATTTGTGCCAGTGATTGGAAGACATTTGCATACGTAACCTGAGAGGCCCTAATATCCATGGAGATAGTTGTAAATTATGATTATGGAGAGTTTTCATTCTTGAAATGATGATCACATGAGATAAGCTTTAGAGAGGAAATAACACATAAAGATGTGGCACAGATTGGGCTAGAAAGAACCTGAAGGATTGAATGATAGGTACAAGGGTGATCTGTGTTTCAGAAGATGAGGGAGACTAAGGAATTGTAATGTGGATATTTTAGGCTGGGAGTCTAGATGGAAGGTTCCACTCGAAGTATAGGTCTTGAAGAAGGCTGGGAGATTTCTAGAGAAGGGAAAGAACACAGCAGAGAAGTGAAGTGAAGGGTATACAGGGGAACACCAAGCAGTTTCATTTATAGCAGAGTTCAAGAAAAGGAAAAAGTGAAGGAAAGAAAGTAAGTTCAGGATGACACTGGGAAGATACTTAAGTATCAGAATAAACAGTTCGTAATCAGCCTGTGTGGGGAAGGGGTTTGAGGCCCCTTCCTCTCAGGAGGTTGGTATTTTTCATTAACTCTCTCACACGTTTATGTACTGTCTCTCCCCTACAGGTAACATCTTTTGTCATATTTATTTTGATTTATAGCGTGAATGCTGAAAGTTCCAGATTTGTTTAATATATTGTTTTTTGGCTGTATATAAATCACTATGACTACATAGCTCCCTTTACATTTTAGGTACTGATATTTATTTCTGGTGCTAACTTTATGTAATAAATATGTAAAAAGTTTGCTTCACGCATTATATATATGTTAATGTGTATATGGTTCTGTGAGTTAGTTTAAGAGTACATTTGCTGGCCAGACACGGTGGCTCACACCTGTAATTCCAGCACTTTGGTAAGTCGAGGCGAGTGGATCACCTGAGGTCAGGAGTTCGAGACCAGCCTGACCAACATGGAGAAACCCCATCTCTGTTAAAAACACAAAATTAGCCTGGTGTGGTTGCACATGCTTAGAATACCAGCTACTCGGGAAGCTGAGACAGGAGAATCGCTTGAACCTGGGAGGCAGAGGTTGTGGTGAGCTGAGATCATGCCATCGCATTCCAGCCCAAGCAACAAGAGTGAGACTCCATCGCAAAAAAAAAAAAAAAAGAGTACCTTTGCATAAAGCAGGTAGAAAGAAGTCTTCTTTCTACATATTTCAAATAGAATAAATAATTAACATGTTGTCAAATCATGTCTCACTTTTTCAAATTTGAATTTAGCCGTGAATTCATTTCTTGGAACTGAAATACCCTCAGCAGTCCATCTGTCCCTGTTTCCTTCTCCTTTATCTTACAGATGGGAAACCAGGGTTATCCCAAAGTCACACAACCAGTTAACTGGCAATGTCAGGGCTAAAGCTGAATTATCGGGTATCTTTTTACCATCCAAGTCTTCATATCTGAAAGTGACTAACAAAAAGCAAAGCAAATGGTCAACACATGTTTACTATTTAAAAAGTTAATTTCATGGACCACATCAAAATGAACCAGTGAATTCTATAATTTAGATGCAGTGGTTATACTTTTATTTGTTAACAGCATTACATTAACAGGCATGCAACATTTCTAGCAAATCAGTTATTATTATCACAAGTGGTACCACCAAATTCCCCTAACAAAAATCTGTGGCAGTATTGGGAACAAACAAGGACACTTCACAATGGGTACATTTCTTATCCTCCATATGGGTACATTATTTTCATTTATAGTTGACTGTAACCCCTTCCCCTCAAATTTCTGAGCTACCCCCAACTGACTGAGTAAACTCCTCCACCAAGGGGATTCCAAAGAAATCCTGAAAAACTAATTTAGACCATGATGGGAAGGGGAAGGTCAGACATGCCTCATTATACTTTCCTCTCTTGGGAGTTCAGGCACAACCAACCAGTATTAATATTAAAACAAGAGATCTTAAGACTGACAAAACAGACTCTTCTTAACAATAAGATACCGAAATTCCAAACTGACTCTAGTATGGCATCACACGAAAGATAGGAGGCCCTAAAAGAAATCAAAGCATTTGATCCTAAAATATATTTCTTTGACATATTTTGAAATGGCCCTGCACAGCCATCTCTTGTGGGGAAAATATATATTCTATAGAGACTCCCCTTCCCTTTCCAGGTCTTTTCCTGATCCAAGAGAGATTTAACCAAGAGTCTGGCATCTTTTTACACGTGGTAAGAGACACTGGCCATGTATTCTCTTTGAAGCCTGTTACCTATGACACTTCATCTACATAATAAGAACCTTGGTCTCCACCTTCTTTTAACCCAGACATAGTCCTTTCCATTGATTCTAGGTCTTTAGATAACAACTTAACTCTTTCAACCAATTGCCAATCAGAAAAATCTTTGAATCCACCTGTGACCTGGAAGCCTTCCCCTTTTTGAGTTGTCCCATCTTCACCAACCAAGTGAAGTATACCTTTTATATACCGATTAACGTCCTTATGTCTCCCTAAAACCATTTAAACACAAGCTGTAACCCAATCACCTTGAGCACATGTTCTCAGGATCTCCTGGGTTTGTGTCATGGGTCATGGTCTTCACCTTGGGCTCAGAATAAACCTCTTCAAACATTTTACAGAGTTTGGCTTTGTTCCTCAACATGAGCCTCTAGCAGTCGGTTACTGGACCATCCTGAGGAATCACAGCCCTAGCACTCAAAGACCCATAAATAATCCTACATGATATTCACTGTGTATTCAATGTGGGTATAATTTCCAAGCTAACGCATAATTAACCCCACTAATAGTCACAACACACATCCTCTGTATTACTAGCACGCACACAGGGCTCTGCTGCTGGTGGACTTGCGTCCTTACTTGTAATTCTGGAACCTTCTCTAGAATGGAGGCTGGTCTGATTTATCTCCATTACCCCAGGGCAGGCACGACACAAGGCACACTATAGAAAGAATGTTTGAATGTTCAGGCTTCTAAGTGACAGAAAAGCAGCTTGCCTGAAAAATGATTTTGTTCTGGCTTCTCACCAGTGTTAATTCACTTGGAAACCAAGTCAGTTTTCTCCCCTTTACTGAACTCTGGGTTTCTTTTCCACTCAAGGGCCCTGACATCAAAGAAGGAAATGGAGCGGAAATCAGGCTACAGAGCGGCTGCTATTCACTCGGGAAACCTTATTGTTTTCCGTCCTTTGTTCTCCTCTCGACCCCTGCCAACCCCCAGGCTGCACGACCCTCTGAAGGCCTGAGCCTGGAGCGATAGGAGCGGGGGGAACTGAAACGCCGCGGAACCAGAGGCGGAGGCAGCGGCGCGACGGAGGGAGGAGGAGCGACGGACCGGCAGGCCTAGCTCTGGGGCTGCGGCGGCTGAAGCGCGGGGATGGAGCCCCTGCGGGTGCTGGAGCTGTACAGTGGCGTGGGCGGCATGCACCACGCGCTGAGAGGTGAGAGCCCATCGAGCACCCCTCTTTCTATTGGCTCACGGGGGCTGGTGGGAGCACCGGCGCCGGGAAGGGGCGGAGCGGCGAGAAGCTGGGGGCGGACACCGCGGGGCGGCCCTCGGTTGTCCTGGAAACCGCTCCTGCGCGCCGCCATGTCCTCCCCTCCCGGTGCTGACTCCCTTTTCTCGGCGCCGAGTCTGGAGGGAGGGGCGGGACACGGCGCTTCCACAAGCTCAGTTGGGAGTCGGGATTCGCTGGGCAGTAAATCACACTCAAAGGGTATCGGCAAAGTTAGGGGGAGGGGCGAGCCCCCGCCTGGTGCCAAGCCCCCGTTCTAAGTGTGCAGTCACCCGGCAGCCTGGAGGCTTGGTCTTTCTTCCTGGGGGACGTCCCAGCGGGGGAGGGAGGGAGCTGAGCAGGGCTCCCCTGCTGAGAGATAGATCTTGGAAGGGGTAATAGCAACAATTCTAGGTAGAAGTTTGCGAATGCTAAGTAGGATGGTAGGGGAAGCTTGAAAAACTTGGAAGTCTGATCCTTGGAAAGGAACGTGTCTTCTATAGTTCTGCGCTTAGATGCCAGAGAACTCAGTTCCAGCTTGGTGGCAGTGTGACGTTGGACTCGTTTATGAACAGTGGTGAACCTGTTTCTTGGTTTTAAAAGAGAATGATTATTATAAGGATTAAGGATAAAGCCTGTCAAGTGCTTGTTACTTGTATTATGCCTGATACATTGTAGCCACTCCAAATATTACACATTATTATCGCTATTACTTTAAAACGATATCACACAATATCATCAAAGCAAACTATTACTTTTTATGTACTTCTTTCATTTTGAGGTTTTTGATTTCTTTCGTGCTGAGTTGGAACTGAAAGGTTTACTTTCGGTGATATTCACTCAAAATTATTTATTGAACTGCTGTTCTGTGCCAGATTTGTGCCAGGTGCTGGCACAGTCTTCGAAGGTGCATGTTTATTCTTAAATAACTAAGACAACCACAAAACTGAAACTTCCCTGCTTCCTTATTTAGGACCAAGGGTAACAAGAGACTAACTGTAAGATACAAACAATATTTCATGGGTTTAGGTTTTTTGACCAGGTTTATTGAGTTTCAGTTCTAGACTAGATTAATTATCATTAAGTTTTTCATACTTACTGGCCTTCTGTCTTTATTTCTCATATTAAAACTTAATAGCTTTCAAACAAAATTCTAGTACTATTTACTCTTTGTTAATTCTCTAAAGTTATGTAATATCTGCTTTTTCCTGTATCTTGAAACTCCTTAATGAATTCCTTGGTACTTCACCGTAAGTTGTAATTCAGCCACTCCTTAAGTGTCGAATATTTAGATAATTCTTCAATTTTTTTCAAGTACAGTGTGCTACAGTTACATTCTTGAGCATAATGGCGATTTCTTTTTAAGCATGCTTCCTAACTGTTGGAATTAATTCATTCAACAGTAAGACTTAACTGTGTGCTAGTTACTAAGTGAAAAACTATGAAAAAAAATTTTTTTTGAGACTGAGTTTTGCTCTTGTTGCCCAGACTGGTGTGCAATGGCGGGATCTTGGCTCACTGTAATCTCTGCCTCTTGGGTTCAAGCGATTTTCCTGCCTCAGCCTCCCAAGTAACTGGATTACAGACGTCTGCCACCACTCCTGGCTAAATTTTTTGTATTTTTAGTAGAGATGGGGTTTCACCATGTTGGTCGGGCTGGTCTCCTGACCTCAGATGATCCTACCTCTTTGGCCTCCCAAAGTGCTGGGATTACAGGTGTGAGCCACTTGGCCCATCAAAATTATGAGAATTTTTAAGACTTGAGTGATAGGATAGCAAATTGCTTTTCAGAGGTTTTTGAGTGCCTTAACTACATATTCATCATGATTATGTATTATCAATTTTTAATCCTTGCCAATTTGCTAGGGGAAAATTGTGTAATTTAAGTGACTCTTTGGGATTAATAGATGAAAGAGTAAAGTGTTTTCTCTCCTATTGGCCAGTGCAATGTGAATTTGTACACATTTTTCTATTGCCAGTGCTACTGTTGTGAATCTAAGCTACTATGATCTCTAATTTAAATTATGAACATAGCTTCCCAGCTCCTCTCCTTACTTCCATTCTGCCCCCCTACTCCATCTGTTTTCCTTCTAGCAGTCAGAATGATAATTTACAGAGTAAACCGGATAATGTCACTTGGTTGCTTATATGGTTCCCTGTGAGGTTGGAATCACAGTTCCATCTTCTTAACAGGCTTGTGAGTTTTGGCTTCTGTCTCCTTTTCAGTTTTGTCTGCCACTCTCCCTTCAGCATCCCGCTTCACTGTCAACACCCAATGCTGAAATTCTAATTAAACTAGTCTCTGAATTATTTGCTCAGCCTCTTGTCGAAGCTCACTTTTTTTTTTTTTCTTTTTGAGACGGAGTTTCGCCGTTGTTACCCAGACTGGAGTGCAATGGCATGATCTTGGCTCACTGCAACCTCTGCCTCCTGGGTTTAAGCAATTCTCCTGACTCAGCCTCCCGAGTAGCTGGGACTACAGGTGCGCACCACCATGCCCAGCTAATTTTTGTATTTTTAATAGAGACGGGGTTTCACCTTGTTGACCAGGATGGTCTCGATCTCTTGACCTTGTGATCCACCCGCCTCGGCCTCCCAAAGTGCTGGGATTATAGGCGTGAGCCACCGTGCCTGGCCAAAGCTCACTGGTTTTATTTCTCTGTTCTCCTCAAACCCTCGAAGTTCTTCTACATTGCTTTTGCTGTTGCCTCATCCAGAGTGCTCCTAACCGTGGACTTTTTCACTCCAGCTTCATTTCACATTTCATATATTCATATGAATGAATATATGTTCATATATTGGCCTTCCCTGGCTGACCCTGTGATCCAAAGCAACTTTCCTGCCTCCCTGTACCTCTCTGCTCTCTCATCTTCTGGGTTGAAGTCTGCATGTGAGGGATATAGACCCTTAATCATTTTGATGCAGGTATTTTCCCATACTTGTTTTTCCTCCAATGTTCACTTATTTAAAATGTACCTGTAATAAAATGTATTTCTCCTTTCCAGACGGTTTTTAATTTAATAATAAAAACTAATAATGGCAGTTCACTTCAGTGTTTATTAGGGATCTTTTAAATTCAGGTCCTTTTTTTGTTTGTTTGTTTTATTTTGTTTTTTGAGAATTAGTCTTGGTGTCACCTAGGCTGGAGTGCTGTCGCCCAGGCTGGAGTGCAGTGGCACGATCTCGGCTCACTACAACCTCTGCCTCCCGGGTTCAAGCGATTCTCTGGCCTTAGCCTTCTGAGTATTTGGGATTACAGGAGTGTGCCACCCCGCCTGGCTAACTTTTTTGTATTTTTAGTGGAGACAGGGTTTTACTGTGTTAGCCAGGATGGTGTCGATCTCCTGACCTCGTGATCCGCCTGCCTCGGCCTCCCAAAGTGTTGGGATTACAAGCATGAGCCACTGCACCTGAATACTAAATTCAGGTCCTTTTTAAAGTATGTAATAAATTAGTTAGTGGTAGAATCAGTATTCTAACCTAGGTGTACCTACGTGACCTTTTAACCATGCTGTGTTGCTGTTGCTCTGGTTAGATCTACTAGCTTCCTTGGATGTATACATTAAATAATATAACAAGCAGCCCAAAAGGAATAATACTGAATTTGAGTTTTGACTCATTCCTAGATAAGGTTTATAATAGAATTTTTTTTATTGTGGTAAAACATACAGAACATAAAATGTATTGTTTTAATGATTTTTAAGTGTGTAGTTCAGTGGCATTAAGTACATTCACATTGCTGTGCAACCATCACCCTTGTTTGTTTCTAAAACTTTTTAATCATCTCAAACAGAGCTGATGACTCATAAACAATAACTCCCTATTCTTTTCCCCCCAGTCTCTGGTAACCTTGATTCTACTTTGTCTTTATGAACTTATCTGCTTTGCATACCACATATGAGTAGAATAATAAAATATTTGTTCTTTTGTGTCTGGCTTATTTCACTTAGCATAATTTTTTCAAGGTTCATTTATTTTGTAGCCTATGTCAATATCACATTTCTTTTTGTGGTTGAGTAATGTTCCATTGTATATCTATGCAATTTTGTGTATCCATTCATCTGTTGATAGACACTTGGTTTGTACCCTGTTGACCATTGTGAATAGCGCTGCTTTGGGTATTGGTATATAATACAAGTGTTGTTTGAGTCTTTACTTGTAAGTTTTGGGGTATAGTCCTCGCACTGGAATTGCTTGATCATATGATAATTCTGTTTAACTCTTAAGGAATCACCGTACTGTTTTCCACCGCAGCGGCAGAGTTTTACATTGCATGAGCGCTCCGTCTCCTCCGTCTCTATATTCTCCACCTGTTACTCCATTTTAACAAATATAGCCATTCCAATGGATATATTATATTCCATTGTGGTTTTGATTTGCATTTTTTAAAATAACTGAAGATGTTTAACATCTTTTCTTTTTTGTTTCTTTTTGAGACGGAGTTTGCTCTTGTTGCCCAGGCTGGAGTGCAATGGCACAATCTTGGCTCACTGCAACCTCCACCTCCCAGGTTCGAGCGATTCTCCTGCCTCAGCTTCCTGAGTAGTAGGGATTACAGATGCTCACCACCAGGCCTAGCTAATTTTTTGTATTTTTAGTAGAGACGGGGTTTCACCATGTTGGTCAGGCTGGTCTCGAATCCCTGACCTCAGGTGATCCATCTGCCTTGGCCTTTCAGAGTGCTGGGACTATAGGCGTGCGCCACTGTGGTGGGCCATTGAGTATCTTTTCATGTGCCTATTAGTCATTTCTATTTTCAGTACGGAGAAATGTCTTTTCGAGTCCTTTGCCCATTTTGGAATTTTCTTTTTGTTGTTGAGTTGTAGGCTTTATATATTCTGGATCTTAATGTCTTACATGATTTGCAAATATTTTTCCCCACCTTACTGAATTTTAAGTTATAAAAAGTATATTTAATTTCTTTGGCAACATGATAAATTTGCCTC